AAGAAGAAGAAGAAAGAAGAAGAAGAAGAAGAAGAAGAAGAAGAAGAAGAAGAAGAAGAAGAAGAAGAAGAAGAAGAAGAAGAAGAAGAAGAAGAAGAAGAAGAAGAAGAAGAAGAAGAAGAAGAAGAAGAAGAAGAAGAAGAAGAAGAAGAAGAAGAAGAAGAAGAAGAAGAAAGAAGAAGAAGAAGAAGAAAGAAAGAAGAAGAAGAAGAAGAAGAAGAAGAAGAAGAAGAAGAAGAAGAAGAAGAAGAAGAAGAAGAAGAAGAAAAGAAGAAAGAAAAGAAGAAGAAGAAGAAGAAGAAGAAGAAGAAGAAGAAGAAGAAGAAGAAGAAGAAGAAGAAGAAGAAGAAGAAGAAGAAGAAGAAGAAGAAGAAGAAACGAATTTGTGGGGTCTCGGAAATTCAGATGAAGTTATTATACAAAATAGTGCGAAGTCTTGTGAGAGCATGGGGTACTGTAAAGTGGAAGCAATATAAGCCAGGCGCAAGTGAGAGAGACTGTGGGAGGAAAAGATTGCTACTCTGTGCTGGGTCTCGGGACTCCTTCCTCAAAGACACACTATACAGATACACAACAACTCACATGTCTTCGTGGGGCAAGAGGGAGTTTACCCTCTTTTGGAAAAGTATACTTGCCACGTATTGTCGTCTCTGACGACGATCCCTTCCCTCATCGTCGTCTCACAGTCTGAGACGACGATCCCTCATTGAATCCGCCCCTACCTGATGCGGGGTCAAGCCAGGTAGGGGAATCATACTCAGTCATCCTCATCGAGTATACGTGGGTTCCGTTACATAAAGAGCTTATTACAATTTATTGTTCCTTGTTATTGCCTAGCTATTAAATAGACCACTGAACCACCCCGCCCTTCCCACACCACGGCGCCTCTCAAAAGCTTTTGGAATAGATTGCGGCCGGGCGCAGTTCGGCTTTCCCAAGATCATCCCGCACGTCTCGAAGTGCCGCATCTACTGGAATGATCAGAAATGCTCCCCTTCAACCGAAACAGCGAATAAATACTGTTAGCTAACTCGGGGAGGGGGAGAGCGGCTTACACGTAGGTTCTGCCTGAAGAGAGTTGACCAGGAAATTTTGCCAACTTACCATGGAACTTTGAATGGAGACCTGAGTAGACTGGTAGAGTCTACGAGGTTGTTTACAAATATAGATAGCAAATTTGTAACCTACCTTTCACAAGGAATCATAAGCGAGGAATCGCATATGTCGAATCGAGTCGTGGTGGTTCAGTGGTAAGGTTCGACGTTCGACGACTCGATTGGACGTATGCGACCTATCGCTTAAGGCAGCGTTCATGCTTCGTTCATACTACTCTCGTTCCTCGGCGCTCGCCGCGATCGCCGCTGCTGTCGCGAAGTATGAACGCTGCCTTAGGCTGCATAATACTTTGCGACAGCGTACACTAGCGTTTCCAGCGTTCGGCAGCGGCAGTGGCAAAGGAAGGAAGGGAAGGGTATGGTGGTAACCAGCTGTGGTAGCATGTGAAAGCACTTTGTCAGAAGTGGACTGCCTCTTCGACACAAATCCCAAACGAATGCCGCTGTGGTCTGAATGGTCGGTAGAATGGCGTGTCCTAAAACGGAACGGTCAGTGCCAAAAACTTTGTCCCTTTTTTCTGCTAAATTGCCTAATCTTTGAACCACAGACGGATTGCGTAATTCGGCGAGGACATGAGTTGCCACGCAACCGCCCAAAACGCCACCGCATTTCCGTTGGTCCCCCTCATACTGCTGCCGAAACGGTTAGGTCTGGGAAAGTCATTCGCTTGTGCTCATTGCCAAGACTTCTCTTCAAACGGATCTTTTTACTATTTATTAAGCCTTTGGTTTACTTATCTGGGCTTCAA